CTTTGAGATTTATATTAATTGCAATTCTTACCTCTACATTTATTTTGTAAAATATATAATTAGCACAGTGTGGCCGTGCAATGTTTTTTATGTTTTTTTTAGTTTTTATTCCTATTAATTATATTTTCACTTGTTACCTCTGAATTATTGAATCAGACCTAGATGACAGGACATTTTCAGCACAATCATAATTCAAATACTCCTTTAATTATTGATTATTCTCATTAATTTTCAATCATTTGTACTGCAGTAGATGCAGTAGCAATAACATTCATTACTTTTGTCCATATATCGTACTCCCTTCTACATACTTGACATAGTATTTTTCATAAACCTTGAACATATAAAAGGACCAAAAAGTGAACATAGAAATTGTCTTCCTGTTTGTTCAGATGATTGCTGCCCAGAAACAGCTGATCGAGAATGCTGATGCAGTACAGGAGAGGATCGCTCAGGTGCAGAGGGAAGGTAAAGTATGCAGAGATGGATGAAAGGCTGCGTGGCTGGTGTGAGTGTCGTTTTGATCAGGTCTCATGAATAAAAGATCTGCAGCATGGGATATTCCCAAATTCTAACAAATCATCAAATAAGCAAGTCTGACTGAAACATCTAACAGTAGAGCTTAATTAGGGTGACTCCTCCGAGGATGGCTCTGCGAGTAAACAGCTTTGCATGTGGTGGTTGTAGCACTCTCTAAATTGGGTTCCCATGACGCACATATTTACAAAAGTATCTGTTTGAAATGTTGTTTACAATAAGTCAGCTGTTCTCTCTCACATTTGTACTGGATTTTCTGAACAGCTTATTTTCCAGCGTGTTTTTGCCTTTGAATGATTGACCTTTATGTGTCAGTGCTTTTGCTTTTACGGAAACATGTCAGTCTAGTTTATACGACAACACACCCGTAACTGCAACTGGGATAGCTGAGGGAAATCATCCATACGCTTGACAGCTATATTTCACCTGAATTTGATTTGCCGATTCCCAAGCTGCTCTGCCTCAATAATGCTCCTGCTTTCGTGCTTCACAGGAATGGACTTCCATGAGGATCTCTCTCGGCTTGGAGAGAAGGAAGGACTAAAGGGTCGCAAGCTTAACAAAGCCGTGGAGAGTTTCACCTGGAACATTACTGTACTTAAGGTAAAGGAAGGCAGAACATAAATAAATAGAAACATTTTGTAGGACAGACTCTGAAAAATGTATCTGTAATTTCAGAAGGCAAACAGTGACAATAGCCCAACTTAAGGCTGGACGAGGCCTTTACAGACCGGACACGTCGAATTCGTGCAGATATTTTGTTTGTTGAAAATATTTCTGGGCTCACTTCCTAATGCAGCCATTGACACCGAGCATGTAATTTCACAGGATGAATTTTCAGCATTATTTCAGCTTGATTTTTTTTTAAAACAATGATTTATTGATTTTTGGAACAACACAAACAGCAACAAATCAGCACAGCCAAATACAAATAAGAAAAAGAGAAGAAAAACAAAAACAAATACAGGTACATGAGTTACAGATATACATGTCTGGGTACATGTCTGGGTATATGTACAGCGTTTTACATTTGAAGTCAAGGGAAAGAAAAAAGAAAAAAATGGGTAGAGAAATTTTTTTTTAAAAGTGCCTTACTTGTAGGAACCCAAAGAAGTGTTTCTGTGGTAAATTATATTTAATTTGAACTTGATTAAAGGCCATAAAACCACCCCTTTCAAACAGATCGCAAATAAATCTTATATTTTTAGAACACCAATCATCAAATATACTAATGTCAATACCTAGGAGGAAAGCTTTATTCCTAATTAGAGGTTGTAGTGCACTAGAAAAACCTCTTCTTCTGACGTGGGCAGCAATATTATGCCAAACCTTAAGTGTAGGCATCAAAATGAAATTATTTCTGACACCAAGAGGAAGGTCAGCCAGATCAATAGATAAAAGACTAAGAGGCGAAAGAGGATCACAGCACCAAGTATCTACCGGTGGCTCGCCTTGGTACAGAAATGAATGTAACCACCCTGAGATTATTTGTGCATGGCAAGCCCAGTAATAATATAAAAGGTTAGGAAATGCCTGCCCCCCCCCTCATCTGTAGGCAGTTGTAAAATCTGTATCTTTAGTCTAGATTTCTTCCCATGCCATATAAATTTAGAAAGATATCCCTCAATCTCTGAGAATGTTTTTCTTTTGATCCTGACAGGCAACATTTGTATGGGATATAATATTCTGGGTCAAACATTCATTTTGATTAAACTTATTCTACCCATCCGGGATAAGGGGAGGTCAACCCACCTATTGAGGTCATTCTTGATTGAGCCTACAATTGGTTTAAAGTTCAACTTGTACAACTCTGTTGTGTCTGCGGACACCCTAATACCTAAATTATTTAAATATGTAAAATCCACTTCCCCCTATCACCCAGTGGCAAAGCTTCAGATTTATCATAATTTATTTTATACCCTGAAAAAAGGCCAAATTGATTAATGATATGTGTCAGTGCAGGAATAGATGTTTCTGGCTTAGTGAGAAAGAGCAACACGTCATCCGCGTAAAGGGAAATTCTGTATTCAGTATTCAACAAGGTTACGCCACAGATCTCAGGGTCAGTTCTTACAGCTTCTGCCAGTGACTCCAATGCAAGTGCAAACAGTAGGGGAGAAAGGGGGCATCCCTGACACATTCCTCTACCCAGTGGAGAAACATCTGAGACCAAGCCGTTAACCAACACCCTTGCAGCTGGGGCCCCATACAACAGTTTGACCCACTTGACAAATTCAGATCCCAAACCAAATCTTTCCAAAACATCAAATAGATACTCCTACTCCACCCGATCAAATGCTTTCTTAGCATCCAATGAAATTGCAAGAGCCCTATAATTGGTGTTCTGGGAGAACTGCACAACATTTATGAGTCGGCGTACATTGGAGCGGGAGTATCTATTCTTGACAAAACTCATTTGGTCAGGCTTTATCAGAACTGGCAGAACCTCCTCCAATCGTCTAGATAAAATTTTGGACAGAATCTTGCAATCTACACCGAGTAAACTTATAGGTCTGTAAGATGTTCACAGATCTGCAGGTTTATCCTTCTTTAAGATCAGGGATATATGGGCAAGGTTTAAGGTGGGTGGAAGTGTGCCCCTCTCAAGAGATTCTACATACATTTTTAATAAAGGACCCACCATGTGTTTGGCCATTTTTTTTTTTATAAAACTCTGGCCCAAACCCATCAGGGCCTGGAGCTTTTCCATTCTGTAAGGATTTGATTGCATCTAAGATTTCCTGCGCCCTAATAGGACTGCAAAGATCTAATCGACTTTCTTCTGATAGTATAGGGAAATTAAATTATAAAGAAACAATTTCCTAGCGTCTACAGTATTTTGACACTCAGGGGAATATAAGTCCTGATAGAACTCTTTCATTATTTTGCTGATAAGTTTAGCCTCGAATTGTAAAACACCTTTCTTATCTTTTAGAGAGGGTATTGCATAAGAGCCCTTTTTCCCCTGGGCAAGTCGGGCAAGTAAGCGTCCAGGTTTGTTGCCCGATTCAAATAATCTATGCTTTGCATAGAATATTGCAGTTTCCGCTTTCTGAGTTAGTAGTTGGTCCAGGGCTGATTTATTATTATTATTGTTAACCTTTATTTAACCAGGAAGATCCCATTGAGATTAAAAACCTCTTTTTCAAGGGTTGACCTGGCCAAGATAGGCAGCAGCAGGTGTCTCACAGTTACAGAAATTACTCAAACACAGGCAGCAACAACACACATGCAACAATAAGTGAAAGAATACAAATAAAATAAAATTCAATAAAATTCAAA